ATATATATATATAGTTAGTTAGTTAGTTAGTTAGTTAGACTTCACTGAATTTTTTAATTTGTTAATATCTATATCAATGCCATTGTCTTAGTCCCTGACTGTAAGTTAAATGAAAGCCTTACTGATGTGGAAAGTAACTATAACCAAATCCTGACAATTCTAACCTTCTTCCCCTTTTAAGTATTATAATATATGCATAGAAGTATTTAACAAATCATATTTCTCTGCATACATCTGACAATATTTAGATCAAGGTCATACTTTTACACTTTCCATATAAAACACATCCAAACCAAAATTCAAAATCTTGGTCCAATAACGATTTCAACACTTTGTTGGACCAGTACAGGTTTGGCATATTTGGTGATCGACTGACTTATACTGCCCAAAATCAATAAAGAAAAAAAAATGAAAAAACGAATACCAGCTAGCACCAAGCTAATATGGTCCGATACCATTCCTTGGTTGGACCTATAAATATTGGTTGGTACATGTCAATACAACTGTTCTATAAACTATAGAAAATTGTGTGTCTAAACATTGCAGATCATATTGAACAGAGTTGATTTATCATATATCTATGATCGATTTCAAGGTGATCTGATTAGGACTTTATAAAATGAAGTTAGAATCCTAGCAGAGGCCTCGAGCAGCAACAAAACTAACACCAAGGAGATATGAATTATGTTATCACATTAACAATGAGATATGGGCTATAATATCACATTAATAATGAACAATTATATATATACAAGAAGGAACTTCCTGCTGATGAAACAATAGTTTAGACTAAACAACATTCCATAAAAATTCAAAGATCAAAAAGTGCTGAGTATATATTTTGAAATCCTTAGAATGTCAAAGTGTGAGGTCCCGAAACTAGTTGTATAGTATGAAATGACAGTGTAGAACTACTCCATGTATGTTTTCATGAAGCAGTCCTGAAATTTGTAGTCCAGTTGCCACCACCTTTTACTAAATGCCAATATTATAAAGCATTCAGAAAGCATTATAAAAATACAAGGAAATTATAAGTTCAGTTCACTGAAACTATATATTGATTTCGAACAAAAGGTACCCAATTATTTCTTATTACTGGCCATTCTCATATTAAAAGAGGGAAGAAGGATAACAAGCAATGACCAATCAAGCAGAAGATGTGACTATTGCTTGCCTCTATGTTCTTCTCTGTAGATCTCCTCTTCCAAATCCATGTCTTGTTATCCATGATTCTGAAAAGCTCCTATAAAGCATGTAAAGACAGAGGTCAAAAAATTGAGGTTAAAAAGTTTTTTCAATTAATAGTAAAATTAAGGCATCCTATCCTATTCAACTATTCAGCATTTATATGACAAAAGAATTATCAAGTGGATGGACTGTTAATTTCCTTTAACAAACGAGAGTTGAGATGATACGATAGACGAGTAGTACTAGCACAAGTGCAAAAGGAGACGGAAAATGAAAAAGGAGCAGATTCTAAACAACATCAGTGATGATTGCCCATATACATTCTTAATTACCTTGTACCATCTCATGATTTATATTATTCATCATGTAAGTTTTCTAGGTATTGTAAAGTTATTTAAAATTATAAAGTTGTACCCGGTGAAAGTTTGACGAATCAACATAGGTTGATGGTATTAGATATTTACTATAGAAAATGAAAAAAGAAAAAGAGAGTCAAAAATTTACTAGGACTAGATGGTGAAATTTTAAAGACGATAATGTAAACACTTTTAAGAATAAGATGGAAAGATATGTAACTTAAAACTTAGATAAGGATAATATTAATATTCTAAACTATAAAGGCTAATAAGATTACGAGTTTAACCAAGAAGTTTCTTGGTGAAACTAAAGGTAGAGATGTAACTTTGTGGTGGTGCAAGGAAGTTAAAAAAATAATTTTTACTAAGAGATCATATTTTAAAGATTAATAAAATTATAAAAATAAGAAAAATTTATAAGATATAAAGAATCTAAAAAAGAGGCTAAAAAAGCAGTTAGAATGGTAAGATATAAAACTTATGATAATTTGTATAATAAATTAGGTACTAAAGATAGTGAAAAAGATATATATCGAATTGCGAAAGCTTCAGAAAAAAAAGTATAAGGATTTAAATAATATTAAATATATTAAAGATGAAGACCAAAGAATATTTGTTAATGATAACGACGCTAAGGAAAGATAAAACATTCTTTTTATAAATTATTTAATGAATATTCCACAGGGGACTTATATTTAATGATAAATAATAATGATAGATTTAATAATCAAAGATTTATTCATAAAATTAGAGTTAATGAAGTAAAAGATACATTAAAAAAGATAAAAATAGTTAAGAGTATGAGGCCTGATGGTATCCCTATTGAGGTTTGAAAAAATTTAGGAGAAAAGAAAGTAGCCTAGTTAACTAGCCTATTTAACAAAATCATGAGATTTGGAAGGATGTCTAATGAATAAAGAAAGAGTTTTTTAGTGTCAATTTATAAAAATAAGAGAGACATACAAAATTATTCAAATTATAGAAGAATTAAAATCATAAGTCATACTATAGAACTTTAGAAAAGAGTTATCGAAAGTATGATAAAGCTTGAAACAAATATATTTGAAAATTAATTTGGTTTTATTCTTGGATGATTAACCATAGAAACTATTTATTTATTAAGATAACTAATAAAAAAGTATAGAGAAAAAAATATTTGCATATTATTTTTATTGACCTAGAGAAAGCTTATGATAGGGTTCTTAGATATTTATTATGGTAGGTTTTAGAAAAGAAAAGTGTATCTACTAATTATATTGATATTATTAAAGATATGCATGATAATGTAGCTCCTAGTGTTAGAATTATAAAGAACGTGTCTAGTGAGTTTTCGATTAGCATAGGATTACATCAAGAATCCGTATTAGGTCTTTACCTTTTATGTTATTTGCTAATGATATTGTGTTAGTTGATGAGAGCCTAAGTAGAATTAATTATAAACTTAAACTATGGAGGTAAACCTTGGAAACTAAATGTTTTAAATTAAGTATGATTAAAATTGAATATATAAAATATAATTTCAGTAATTTTATAAGTAAACATGAGAATATAGTTAAATTAGATTGACAAGAAATCCACTTAGGTAAAAGTTTTAGGGTTCTCAGATCAATTATTCGACAAGATAGATAAATATATTATTATAAAGTAAAAACATAATGCTAAAATTAGTGATGGGTGTCAGGAGTCCTGTGTGATGATCGGATATTTTTAAAATTAAATAAAAAAAATTTATAAGACAATTGTAAGAGACTAATAATGTTTTATGGATCTGAGTATTGGGTAATGAAAAAAAAAAATATGCAAACATTTATATTATCGAGAAAGAATGTTAAGATGGATATATGGAGTTACTAAGAAAGATAGAAAAGGAAATACTTTTATTCGTAAACAATTAAGTATTGCTTCGATAGAAGATAAGATAAGAGAAAATTATTTATGATGGTATATACATATGTTTAGGAGACCTCTAGATGCAGTAGTCAGAAGGGGTAAAATGATTAATGTTAGTGGTACCAGAAGTGATAGAGGAAAGCCTAAAATGATTTTAGTAGAAATTATAAATAATGATTTAAGTACTCTAAACTTAACTAAACATATGACTTTTTTACCGATCTCAATGATGGTAAAAGATCCATGTAGTTGACTCCAAATAGTTGAAACTTATGACCCTATTATTATTGTTGTATCATGTAAGTTTTCTAATGACTAAGAGAGTTCATTCCAAATCGTGATGAAAATCTTCAATTGCAAAATATTCATGCCCTTTAAGAAAGTTTTGTCAACTTCCATGCCCATTTTGAACTATTTAATGGTCTAAGATATCTTCAATTGGCACATTTTAACTTTTCCTTTTATATATCAAATATATACACAACTATATGTTTTGCATTCTGCACATAAATACATTCAAACATACATGTAAATATAAACAGAATGAATGATAAGCATTGCAGCCCAAAGAACTGAAAAGACAAATTTTTAGCTGTCATATAATCGAGAATCTTCATATATGTTACGAGAGGAACACACAGTATGGAACAGAATTGACAAGCTTGTCTTCAAACACCCATATCCAATTCTCTAGCCTGTAGTGTCCATAAGTTAAGACTCACTAAAATATTTCAAGTAAATAACACGACAATTGCATCTTTCTTATAAGGAACATAAAATTTATGTTCAGTTGGCTCCAGATATATGTTGCGTATTCCTCTCACTGGCGGCTGAAATGATCATTGGTAAGTCAATATACATCAGAGAATGCACAAGGAGACACTAATATCAAAGTAGATCCGTACACCTTGACAGTTTCCTTCCTCACACACTAATATCAAACTCATTCTCCTCTGTTTTTACCAAATTCTACTACACCTTTAGATCCACCATTTTAATAACAAAAGCCCGACCTAGGAATCGGTCTTCTGGGTATCAAACCATTAAATCGAGCTTAGCTCCAAATGAATCACAATAAGTCTAGCTGCCAAAAACGAGGATATATTGGAATACAAATTTGTGCAAGATTCTTTTAGTGTTCCGAAAGGAGACACTAAACCACTAAATCATCACCATGAGGTTTCAATCAAAGTAGTACCTGAAGTAATAGTGATAAAATTGCAGTCTAGCAATCCAAGAACTCTAGCACTAAAAGTTCAGAAGCAAATTAATCTGTGCAAAGAAACTAGAAGCAATCAGTTCCAACTTTTGCAAGAAGAAAAAGAAACAAAGAAGGCAACATGGCAAAACAAAGTGGCTAATGCACCTTTCAAGTGCATCCCATTGCTCAGGAAGTTCCAGACAAGCCAGAAAACAAGGAAAGAAAACAGAATCTCCAAAACAATCGCCAGTAAGAGGAAACAAAAAGGAAACTCCGAACATGTGTAAGCTAAAATTCCAAGAGAGTTGCAGACTGACCTGACTTCACCACCGAAGCATCATTCTCAGCATGGGAGCCAAGAGTTAAGGACACGAACCACAAGAAAACATGTACAGTGAAGGGTAGAAGGAAAGGAAGGAGAGAGAAAGAGGCGATGGTATTTGGCAACGCGACCGGCTCAGTTGTTCTTTTTATCTCTGTTTTATTCTTTTCTGCTCTTATTCTTTTCGTTTCCTGTTTCCTCTTGATAGGCGTGCTCGTCTGCAGGTTGGTGGGACAAAGCACACCGATTTGTGGGGGACAGAGAGAGAAGAGGAAGAGGAGAGTACAAAGGAGGGGAGAGAAAGGTGGGGATAAAGAAAAAGAGCACGTCGAAAGCTGACTCCACCACTGGATTATGCCTTTGGGTTACAGTGGAACGGAAACAGAGGACGAAGTAAGAGCAAAGAGTAAGAACACGGGAGGCGGGTTGAGAGCGAGGAAAGTGTCGGCGGCTACGTAGATCTGTCGGTTCGTGGATCCCGTGTCTTGTCCGAGGCTCTAAGCACGAAGCGGCACCTTACCGTCGCCTTTTATTGTAGGCCCCATATAATTGTTCCGAGGCGGCGACTGGTTTGTGGAGTAATATCATGTTTCTTGATTTCGACAACGCAGATGATCCCGCACGCAACAAGCAACACTTAGCCGACTCCAGCCGCGGCGTACCGGTCTAGACAACCACCCTCGTGATTGGCCGCGTCCGGGGCCCCACAACTGGGTCCCGCATGAGACCTCCAATGAGGAAGCGGTAACGATGAGGGATGGGACATAAATATGTGGGTAGACAAAGTATTTCACTGCAATAAAAATAGAAAATTTTCATATGAAAATAAATAAAATATAAATAAGCAAAAGAAAAAGATTAAGGTTGCTAGTCAACACTAATCACAAAATAATAATAAGAAATGTACATATTAATATTAAGCCAAAATATTGGTACAGTGTCACATAACTCTACGTTGGATTTTGTAGTATGATAGGGACTAATATCGATGACTCATGGTAGGTGTAACATTGTTATCATGTGAGTGACGGTGATGTCCTAACATAGTTGGAGATATACTTTAATTGAAGCCAACCCCTAATAATCTTCTACTCTACCTAAAACGATAGAGTGGTTGAAGAAAGAAGTGAGTTAGAATAGCCGAAAGGACTGTGTACTTAGTTCATCATCCAACTTAATGGTTTGGACTTTGTTATGATGTCCATAGGTGATTAATTCGCTTTAATTCGTCATTTATGATCAAAGATCCATGTTAGATATGATTGTGCAATGAAAATAACTTGATAACAAACTTGAACTCAATTCGAGTCGATCCACGATATACACATCGATAAAGAAAAAAATAGAATAATTATAAATTTAATATTTAATCATATAGTTGCATAATATGAATTCAATCGTTAATAAGACTAAATTATTATGATAAGACTTTTTTTTATCAGATAATGGTTGATATGTGGTAGTAATAGTGAAAGGCTACCAACAATTATTCCACTGTGATGCTGTAGCCATTAGTGGAGGAAAGGCTCATCATAAGGTGGCACATTAGATGACTGACAATTTACATTCTTTTTCCTCTCTTTGTGCAATCATGTTTGACTATATATGCACCAGAAAATGACTTAACCTGCAAGAGACTCTTCACCTTGTACAATTGACTCCAAGATTGGAACTTGAGATTCCAAGCATTAATTGCTGGAGCAATAGCTTTGGCAAACTATGGAAACGAACAAGAAACAGATGCCAAGCACTCCTGTTCATTGATCTCTTTATGCTTGCTTTCTAGTGTTTCTTCCCATCCTCTCCATTGACTTCATCTTTTATGGTCCCTGTCTCTCTCTCTCTTAATGGATGGATCCTACAGGGGTGGGTGGGTGCTGTGTTATTGTCTGCTGATGGATTAAATATGGATGGATTCTGGAGATGTATTCTACTGGTCCAACTTTGTCATTAGCTGGAATCAGCAACACAAGAAAAACACCTTTTTCTCAGAGAAAAAAGAGGATACATATGTCAAATACACAGGCTTAATGATTGATGTTGTTCCCCATTCCTAACTTGAAATAGATTATTCATTGTTGGAATGTTCAGTGCAACCTGCAGGAGAGTAAATTTTTGAACGAGTGTGATGATTGCTTGGTCCCTGCCATGTCTCTTTTTCCTATTTCATATACTCCATCTCCCTCTGCATAAAAGAGAAGTTTAGATTTTAGTGTTTGATTGTTCAGTGCAAGCTGCAAAGTGATTGAATTTGGCATAATTATTACCTGGTCCCTCTTACATCATTCCTTTTATTCTTCTAAACAAGAGAGAAGTTTCCTTTAGATTCTTATTTTAAATAAATATATACTACTTGTAGAGCAACACAAAACAATCACATTTTCCTCATAAAAACAGCAACATATGCCAAAAACAGAGGCTTAACTATTTAACTTGAAATCTACTATTTATTTGATTGTTTAGTGAAACTGCAAAGTGAGGAAAAATATCAGATGTAATCCTCCAATACCACTCCTTTTTATATAATATCGGATGTAATTCTATTATTCTTAAATAAAATTCCTGTGGTTAGGAAGTTTTTGATGTAATTCCCGATAAATGATTCATTTTCTTATCTTATATCATCACCTTACGTAAAAGAATTATTGTGTTTTACTTTACAGATGTACTCAAATCAAGAACCTGATCTAAATAAATTTTTTATGATTAGAAAGTTTCTTGATGTAATTTTGGATGACTTACATAAAAGAAAAAAGTTGGTTGATGGAGTTCCTTGATCAACTGTTCATCCTCCTCTACATAAAAGAGAAAATTCTCTTAGATTGTTATTCACAATAAACAAACACATTTTCCTCATAAAAAGGCAAATATGCCAAATACATGCGCTTAATGATTGGTTGTGTTCCCCATTCCTAACGTGAAATATATTTTTAATTGTTTGATTGTTGAGTGCAAACTGCAAAGTGAGTAATGTTTGGTCCCTCTCATATCATTCCTTTTTATTCAGTATACTCTTCTCCCTCTGAACAAAACAGTAGTTTATTTTAGATTGTTCTTCACAAAAATTTATAATACTTTTAAAGCAAAAGAAGACAAACACATTTGCCTCAAAAGAAAGCAACATATGTCAGGCACACATGCTTAATGATTGATAGTGTTTGCCCACTACTGATTTGAAATCTATTTTTCTGTGTTTGATTGTTCAGTGCAAACTGCAAAGTGAGTCAATTTGGTATGAGTATATTGATTGGTTGGTCCCTCTGATATCATTCCTTTCAGTTCAATTGTCTCCCTCCACATCAGATAAATTTATATTAGATTGTTATTCACAATTAAATTTATTTTAGGTTTAACATAATTATCTTCTAATCAGGTGTTGTATAATCTTCCATTTAAACTAATATTTCTTAGAAGGCAAACATGTTATGGTTTAATTTTAAATTCAAATGATTGCATATTGTACAAATTAAAATGATTAAAAGTATACATGGACCAAATCATGATGAAATTTTCAGAATACTTACATTTAATATCATTTAAAGTATCATCAATGATTTGGGTTCTTGTATTAATTTGTTTTCAGCATATGAGGGGTTTTACATCATTTCTTGCTGTGCATGGTTAATAGACATACAACATATATTTCTTGCTGTGATCCTTAAACTTTATTTCTCAAACTATATATTTTTTAGCAATCAAAACCTTCCATTATTTATTATTGAGGTTAGCAAGAAGAAAAAAGTGTGGTCATAATTTACTTTACTATTTTTTTGATTTAATTTCAAAATTATATGTGAAATAATAATTATTAGTTCAAACTGATTGTAAAAACTATTGATTTTTCTATGTTATTTTTGATAATTTTATTTTTTTTATTGATTTTGATTGTTGATTGATATGTCAAGTGCATTCTAATTTTCATTTAATCAATTTTTTTTATTTGGGGGTTTTTTCCTCTCAATTTTGATATTTTATAGTTTTTATTTATTTTGATTGTTGATTGATATGTAAAGTGCATTTCTATTTTTATTTAATTATTTTTTTTCTTAAAGGCGTTTACTCCTTTGACTCACTTGGCTCGTCTTCCTGATCGCTCTGTTCCAGCTTCCAGTCTTTCCCCTTCCTCCGATCCTTCGTTCTACATCCCCAGTCCCTATCGGATCGTACCCTTGCTTTGAATCGAAGCGAAGAAAAGTAGCGGATGGGCTACGGTTGCTGAGGAATTAGGTTTTTCGCAACAAGAAATGGGGTCTACTCGTGGAAGTCGATCGTCCACCAAGATGTGGGATTCTGCCGCCATGGATGCCCGATTCAGCTCTCTGGAGCTCAGGGTATCCTTCGGAGATGTCTTCAGCGGGTAAGTGCCGAATCCATTTAATGGATTTGTTCTAACGTACGTCAAAATCCTTTTCCTTATTGATATTGATTATTGTGCTGGTTCTGTTGATTTGGAAAACGTTGGTTTCTTCGGTATTATTGGTTTCTTGATTCTTGATTTCTTGATGCTGATTTATATTGTTCTGTTATCGCTCTTTCTTTTTGATAGCTGGGGAAGTATTAATGAATGGCTTGTGAATGAAAGATGCATTACATTTGGCAAAATGCAAAGACAACACGATCTTGGGCTTGCTGATGCATCCAAACAGTAGCATTCAAGATAGCTTGAGACATATTGGTCTTTTGTGCTAATGACGTGACATGCATCCAAGTCATACGGAGAGGATGGCTATTGATGATTGTCAATGATGGATCGAAAGTTGAAATCCATTGGAAGTTAGAAGGGAAAAACATGGTTCAAATGGACCTTATGGACACAAAGGAAATTTGGTACCTTTGATGAGTGATTGAGATAATTTGTAGATCTAATGGCATAACTACAATGTTCATTTGTTGATGGAAGGGAAGGTCCTTGGATGACTTGTAATTGTAGATGCAATTACATAAAGTCACCTTGTGCCAGCAGTAACCTATTCAATTTCGTAAATGAAAGTTGATTGTGTGGGAAGTAAGTTTTCCGACAAAACATACTAACCCTGCAGAATAAGAATGTCTGGAAGATAAAGAATTAAAATGAAACTGAAGATTAAGAAATAAAATATTGGTCACTCATGCCAGGTATTGGTTGTGCTGGTGTATCTTGTGGTGCCGATCAACTCTAGGCGCATATAACCCTTAGTAATTTTTTTTATCTTAAAAAAAAATTAAAATATGTTTAGAAGATCTGTTGTGGACCATATATCAAATATACATATGTAAAAATAAAAAAATTAAAATTACATGAAGTTAGCACATTTTACATGATACAGGATATATGTATTACCCATGCATCACAATTATATAAAGTACCATGTTGGTTTGGGAGGTGGATCTAGGTTCACAATGTCAAGTGTGCGGGGAGCAATATTATAATTCTGAAAAATATTATATGAATGATATTGTTTCCACGATTTTTAATATTGATAAAACTAGAAACTGCCACCGCCGAGGGGGAGATGGTTATTCTAGGTATGCAAACCAAAAGAATGATGATGCAACAAGTATCACCAAGGTCGTTAAGGATGCAAACCAAATTTCCAATTTTCGGTATGCTGTCATCAATTGCAGTAAACTTGCATATCCTTTGTTTCAAATTTCATTACACCATATTCAAGCCAAGTTCGAGAGTAATGCTAGCTGGGATAGTGGTATAGATGAATTACAGGGCCCCAGAACTATTTTCAACTGTGAAAAACCAAGTAGCCTAGTATCACAGGCACTGGTTCTATACTCATACCAAGGTCAAGGATAGATGAGTCTAAAGGAGGAACTGCTCGAACCACTGTAAGATAACATATTTATTTGACAGCAGAAAAATATTTATATCATCCTAAGACAACAAATAAGGTAGAAAATAGAGAAAATAAGTGATATCTGCTTCAGAAGATGCATCTGATGGATTAGCACTGAAATTTTCAGTTCAGAAGGGAATAGTAGACAAGATGATGTAAGTTTTGTACTTTGGTATTGTGATGCGGAGGCTTATCAGGATATTCTGAACCTAAAGATAGATCTTTATTTCCATGGTCCAATCTCAAAATCAGTAGGGTATTCAATGTCTAACATTAAATCTATATTTTAAGGATAAGCTATCAGTAAGCGAATCAGGTACCATAGAAGTACACTCTGTGAAAGAAATTTTGGATTACACAGCATTTGATTATAATATTAAGGTAAAATGACTATCAGATCTTGGGATTAAAGATCTTTTATATTCTTCTGATGTGGGTAATTGAGATATTATGTTATTTTAACCTCTCCTACATGGTAGCCACTCAGCAGGTACACTTCATCTGAGGATGTGTCTATAAGTGGCTCAATAGTTCTCCATAGCGAAAATGATGAACCTGGTACTCCTCATTTATGAAAGTCTAAGTTGGGAATTCAAGCAAAGACATCAAGCATCTCCACCGATAATAATGCTATGAACCTTGCAGAGGTTTCCTTATATTAGAACAAATACATGCATATAGAAGACTTGGATACTCTATTTCTGACCCTTTACTTCATGCATATGATGGCACACCATAGGCAGAAGCTACATTACAAGGGGGGCTGAGAAAAGGAAGTTATTGGGAAAGACATTTACTGAACAAAAAAAAAGAAGGATTCTATTTAAAATGAAATGATTGAAAGGACAAACATCTTAGAATCATCTAGGTACATGAACTTTCAGATTTTCAATGATTAGGAATGTTATGTTTAGTTCTTGGTTGTAATTATTTCTTATAAGACTAGCAGCAGCAGCAGCTTTTTTCCCTGCATTATCATTGTTGACAGTTGCTTCCCTATAGGAGGTGCTGTTTACGAGCTAGACATATTCATTTAGATTATATGCTCTAACTATGTCATAAGAATCTGCTACTTTTGTGATTATTCTTCTGTATTGTTAATTATGATTCTTTTGTCATTAGTTGTACAAAAGCTTGATAATCATAATGAAGATCGCTACAGAAACTAGATATATTTGAGAAAGAAACTCGTTAGAACCATGTAGTCCTGGTTAGATTTGTGGGAGCTTCTTAGGTTGGTTAATTGGAATTAACTTGGAGAGCTTTTTAGATATCTATCATTCCATAGATCCTACTAGATTTGTTCCCTTCTAGTTCATGACATGAGAATATAGCATCCTTGTTAATTTGGATCTACATATATGGTGATATCCTACAAATTAAGTCATCATAAGAAAAAAAAATGGTTGCTGAAATGTGTGTGTGTGTGTGTGTGTATAGGGTTGAGACCTAAAATTTTTTACCTTCAAATCAGTTGTGAGCCTTTAAATTAAAGATCAACTCTGTTGAACATGAGCTACATTGTTCACAGAGACTAATGAAAAATCATAATTTTGAAAGCATCCTTATACATTATGTAAAAGTAAATATATGCAGTTTTGGCAGCATAAAATATATTTTTAGTGGATCAATAATATAGAAATTATATGGATTTTCTATGAGTGAATGCTCTTAGAATTGTTCATTTTGTGTTAGTTTAATGGACACAAGATTTTCAAATCATGTGAACCTTGTTTTTATAGATGTTTTAAATGTTGTAAGATCATGTTTAGCAGAGGTGACATTCAATTTGCAAACTCCATGGTTGATTCTAATGTGAAAGGATTGAGGTCTCAAACTTCCACGAGGGATTCTTGCTCAAATCTTTCTTTTATGTACATGTACGCAGTTGATCAAATCAAGATCCAAATAAATGCAATATTTAACTAGGGTGCTAATTTTCCCATGTCAGCATCTTTGAAACATGACATTGTAACAGAAGTTTCTTTGACTGAACGAAAAACTCAAAGCTTTGGTTAAGCTACAATTTGACTCAATGATAAGTCACATAGTAATAAATAACCATCTGCTTTTAGATTGTATTAATGTGTAATGGAATAAATTTTACTCTGATTCAAATTCCTGCAAAGAAAAAATTTCAGCATACTTATGGCTAGTTTTAGTAGTAAGCAATATTAAAATCGGAATTGTGTAGGTCAGATGCAGGTCAAACACTACATGCATGACATAGTCTAAAGGTGAGAACTAAAGGCTAGAGAGCTAGCACCCTTCTTCATATAGAGGGGCATGCCATTATACCATTCTTTGGTCTTCATATGTAAACAAAAAATAACCTTGAGAGGTTGCACAACTTAAGCTCACAACTATTATCATTAAAAGAAAACAAGCATGTGGTGTCAGATGATTCAAAATTATGCATCCTATCATTCACATATCATGCAAAGAGTGTCATTCATGATCAGATAGAATGAGAAAAGTACCTGCATTCCAATGGTTTTACTGTTTTGAGTTGAGTTTTTGAGATTGTTCTTCCAGTTGCCTCTCCAAATGCATTCCCACCAAACAGTCAAAGGTTAGAAGCCTGGACCAATAGATGGAACATGTGAGTAGGTATACATGAATGTAGCGTACTAAATGAGCTCAAGGTTGGATGGATGGAGAAAAGGAAGAAGAGAAAAGAACAGCTTGAGGTGAAACATTGTAACTACTACTCTCTTTCATTTGTAACATCTCAATCGTCCATTAATGACGTACCTTCCTGTCAACAGCATGGACTCCATCCATCATTCAACTACTAGTTCGTTCCATGGTGTGCGTGCGTATGTGTTTGATCCATATTTTTAGTTAAATTAAGAGTCTTTAGAATTAATTTTATCGTCCCTCATGAAGTCTTGTTATGCCTTCCTTCATCTGTCTCTTCTTGCATTGTCGACTCATTAATCTTTAGCTAATCACAGTATTTATAAGTTTGACTAGCACCTATTTGATCTAATCTTAACATCAGTTTTGAATTTCTAATTTCTAGGAACATGACCAATCCAAAACTTTGACACAGACATTAAAAAAATATTTGTTAGAAAATGGTTGGTTCAGTGTTTCTGTTATGTTTTTCTTCCTACATCCATTTTTGTAGGTTTCTTCTTTTCTTTTTATAATATTATCATTTTCTTTTATTTTGGTATATTTCCTTTGTCTATCCTGTTTTGTTCTTTCGACTATAGAAGTTGACCATATTTTTCTCTTAACAACTTGACCATATTTTTTTGACAAATGTGTACCACATATATCTGATTCCACAATTTATTGCACATGAGTTGAATCGGACAAAAGCATCACTGCTTAGGTGTTAATATCATAGTCTTTGATATTTGTTGAGATATCTGAATGATTAGTGTATTATATATATCACTTTAAAATGCAATAGATATTTTTTTTTAAGATCATGATCTTGGATAACATTAGAGAGACATATAAGAGGAGATTCAGAGCTGTCCATGTAACTCTACCAATGGGAGTAGCGAGAGATGGTGTGACAAGAAGTAGCTGTTCAGCTGTCTGAAATGAGAGAGGGTTTGTGACAAGAACTAGCTGTCCAATTAATTGTCTGTAGAAATGTGAGAGAGGGTTTTGGTGTGCTGCAATTAATGGGAGGATGAACAAGATATGTGGCAATGGGGCAAGCAAAGCTGCACGCACCCCCACCTGCAAGTCTCACCGGCTTCAGCCGGCCCCTACTCTTTATATGTCCACAGTTTCTCCACCACCCAGACCAGCAAAAACCTTGGAAGCTGATCACATAGTTCTCCTACAACAAACATCAACACGGAGGAAGACACACATACAACAACAACAATGGCTTCTCAGAATGGCCAACAAAGACCGCATCAGGAGGTCGGTCACAAAAGCCTCCTCCAAAGCGACGCCCTCTATCAAGTACTACTACTCTCTCACTTCCTCCTTGCTCTCTCGTCCACCTTTTCTGATCCTTATACTACTTCTTGCAGTACATACTGGACACCAGCGTTCTCCCCCGAGAGCCCGAGTGCATGAAAGAACTCCGCCAGATCACCGCCAACCATCCCATGTACTACATATCATGTCCTCATGCTATTGAGTTGCGTGCAGTGGAAACAGTGCTGTTGTTTTAATCTTTGCATGATCCATGCAGGAACATCATGTCGATCTCGGTCGACGAAGGGCAGTTCCTGAACATGCTGCTCAAGCTCACCAGAGCGAAGAAGACGATGGAGATCGGCGTCTACACTGGCTACTCCCTCCTCGCCACTGCCCTCGCCCTTCCCGACGACGGCAAGGCACGTATACCCGTCACCTCAGTCTTCAGCCTTTGTTTCTGTTCTCGTTGGTGACATGCTCATGGATCAGATTCTGGCCATGGACACTAACCGAAAGTACTACGAGGTTGGCCTGCCGACGATACAGAAGGCCGCCGTCGCCCACAAGATAGACTTCCGCGAAGGCCCCGCCCTCCCCGTCCTCGATCAGCTGCTGCAAGACGTGAGGGGGTTGATCTATCACTCATGGATGCGACCATTTCCTTCCTCTCCATCACTCGTTCGTTCCTCTGCCTGCAGGAGACGAATCACGGGTCGTTCGACTTCGTCTTCGTGGACGCCGACAAGGAGAACTACGTGAACTACCACCGGCGGCTGCTGGATCTGGTGAAGGTGGGCGGCCTCATCGCGTACGACAACACGCTGTGGGGCGGCGCGGTGGCGGCCCCGCCGGACGCGCCCCTGCCCGGGTACCTCCGCCACTACCTGGACTTCGTGCTGCAGCTCAACCAGGAGCTCGCCGCCGACCCGCGCATCGAGATCTGCCAGCTTCCGGTGGGCGACGGCGTCACCCTCTGCCGGAGGATCAGATGATTACAGAAATGACATGTCTGTCCTCCGTTCATCGCCAATAAAATATATGCCGCATGAGGCGACTACGTTTGTCTTATTTCACGTGCGACCCAAAATAATTATTATAGCCAACCAAATAAAGTGAGTGTTATTTACCTTCTTTTTCCTTTTTTTAATTTAATGTTATTTACTGCTTTAAATTTGCTCATCAATAGCTGTTCGTGATATAAATTATTAATTGAAGAGAATAAAGGTTGTTTATGGATGGCTTCTTGTTCTTTGTCATCGGATTAACTCTATCAAAGAAATCCACTTATATATCCTCTCGTAATATTTTAATATGTAATAAAAAATATATTTTTTATTCTCTCAAAAAAAAAACCTCCAATTTTTATCGGGTAAAATAGATAATATCCGAATCCGACCGGACTCGATTTTGTTCAAAAGTAAAAGAGATAAAATCCGGGTAAATAGGAACCTTTATCGGGTATTCTTTGGCCAAGATCCGAATCCGATCCAATCCAATATCATATCCATCCAATTCTAGCCGTTCTTTTTTCTTCTAATAAATGAAAACATCTCGGGGCAGTCGACCTCCCATCAATTCCTCGCCACCACTGCCGCCGCCTTCTCCTCCTGCACTCGGTTTCGCCGTATTGCGGCGATCCATGGCCTCCACGTCTTGGTCCCTTTCCGCCGCCTCTTTGGCCCATCGTCCCTCGCCGTGGCCGTCACGAGCGCCGCAGAAGATGGCGGCAGCGGTTGGTAGCCTCGGCCGATGCGGCTGTCTCCTTTTGCCTCCGTCTTCGATTCTCCGGAGGAGCCGCCGAAGAGGGAACTGTGCCGTTTGCATGGCTCCCGAGGAAGAGAAGATGACCCGCCGCTCCCCTCTCGATTTTCCCATCGTATGCATTTCATCCAGCCATCTCTTGATATTTCTGTTTCCAAACAAATTTTATTTCTTTGGCTTTGATTAGAAGAATTTAGTTCTCAATTTGATGACCAAATTTAACACTTATGTATTTTTTCGATAAAACCAAGTTCAGATTTGGTTTCGATAAAAACCATATTCAACATATTTTTCTAAGATTTGATTAGATATTTGTTGTCTTCCACATTTGTAGTCGTTTATCTGCAGATGGAGTACCAAAATTGAGCAATTATCTGTAATTTTTGCCATGAAAGGGAATTTATTTCTTAGTAAAGTATTTGGAGTCGAGTGGATTGATTATTCATGATGGGAACAGGGATCTTTTATGGAAGTGCAAGGTTAGAAAGAAGGGTGTGCTTTGTATGGCATCCATAATAGGGGGTTTATTTGTTAGATTTAGGTTAAAGGATTTTGATTAGATGTAGGTTGAAGGATATCTTGTGGCTAAAATTTGGGGCTAATTACATTTTTCCCCCTGTACTTAGGTTCTTTTAGCATCGCGGTCAATGTAACTTTTCGCGGTCAATGTGACTTTAAAAAGTTACATTGGGTACCTATACTTTTCGAAGTTGCTATAATTGACTCTATTTTTAACAACTCCGTCTGTTTCTTTGACAGAATCCATTGCATGTGACATCACGTGCAAAATTTATGCCAAAGTGAAAGGTAAAATAGTCAGTCCCCGCCTCGCACCATCGCCACCAACCCCGTTGCTTGCCGCCACATGCATCCCTAGCTTGTCAGCCCTCACCCTGCACCATTGCAAGCTCCCCACCCCTTCTTGTCGGAACATTCATCCAATGGCGACGAGCATGCTCCAATAGTTCCAGCGCTCCGTAGGTCGAAGCCACCCATTGGCCTGCATCTGAACTATGGTTGGTGTCTCCACTGTAGAAGCCTTTAAAAGCCTTCCCTGATACTTCGGCACCAGTGTCTCCGCCGCAACGGCCCAATCGCAATGGGTGCGTTGATCCTCTGTGTTGACGGTCCCGTGGGTCTCTTCTTCGGGGGCTGACTGTTTAGTTGCAGAATTAAAACTTTTGACACTTCTAAGACCTCCTATTGCCTTTCTTTTGCTATGAGCTTCTTTGGACTTCGTAATGATGATTTTCATCTTGGATGGTGTTGAATATATCTAATTATGTTAACATTAATTAGTGTCATATACTATCATATCTTCTTTGTTGGGACCGTTAGAACCCAAAATATTTAATGCACTTACCATATCTCTTCACTTTTTGTCTTCTAGTTTATCCAAATCAGGGAGACTGTTGTATCTTCTCTATTGTAGTTGTTTCAGACCTCTTTTTTATAGTTTTGTATGGATAATATCAATTTGCTAGTTAAGTGTGAATTTCCAATAATTTGAGTGTTTTCAATACACTGATCCATGAAAATACATAGTAGATGGCTTATATTAATACTTATATCATCCCCATGGGATGAAGTTAAATCTGCAAATCTTATTTTTATTCAAATTGGTTTAACAAGGGTGATTATTCTCTCCATTGTCAAAGAAACATGGGCTAAGATTATCGATGACTTAATTGATCTGAGGCAGGTACTTTGTGGTCGGTTAGCCTTTTGGGGTTACCTGCTATTTCCATGATATTAATCATTGAAACTCCGATAGTTTAACTGCAAGATGAGAAGATTGAGCAAAGTTTCACAAGTTATCAATCAGATATGACCTCTTCAGAATTGGTGAAGAATGAAGATTTCCTGAAGCAGAATTAGAAGATATAGAGGTTTTCAGTGAAACAGAAAATACCAGTTTTCATTAAGATTCTGCACGATGTTGATCTCACTTGGATCTCATATGGCCTTGGACTAAAGTTGCTATAGACTTGAGGAGTCCTGAACAAGTTGGAAAATTGTTAGTTTAACCTAAGGATCTAGGAATATTCGTTAGCTTTTGAGGAATGTAAGGGTTAAGAATTCTTGGGCACATTTATTACATTGTATTATTGAGATTTTACAAAATAAAAATTATGCTATTGTTATGCTTAATAACATATTTGTTATGCATTATTGTATGATTAATGAGCCTCAAGTTTGAGATTATGTTTGAGCATTTTGTATGCTATTTAATGTAATGAAATTTTTTTCTATTTAAAGAAAACATAGCTGTCATGCACACACTTTTAAAGAAAATATAGTTCTAACAAAGAATAAAGAAATGTGGTAGTGCTTTTATGGATAGAACATGGAATTATCTAGATGGCTTTATTATAATAGTACCAGAATGGGACCTCTTTCAAGTGACACTGCAGAATATTCTTTTCATATAAAACTGCTTGTTTCTTTTTGTCCAAGTAGCAAGTGAATTAAGATGAGAGTTCTCTTGATGTACAGGTGGATACTCTCTCTCTCTCTCTCTCTCTTCTAAGTAAAATAAGCAAGCTTGTCTTGTTTGTATTACTTCTAGATGCTTTGGTGCATTTAAATCAGATTATCGGAGGATAAAGATAGAGGAATCATTTCCAATATATGTATATACACATGTCTATATTTTCAACAAACCTTGATAAGATCTACAAGGTTTGGATGTTGCTGCCTTCTTGATTAATTTGAAGCATTTAACAGATATATGCTGGTAAATTTTCTAGTATCCTTTTCAAGTCTATTTCTTCTTGGTATTGACGGATTAGTTCCTACATAAGGATGTGTATTTAAGTTTTCATGATTTGATGCTGATGAACTGATTCCTAAACAAATCAAACGAGTTGATTGATGAGAATTTTATTGAAGCATGTTGATGTTGACATATGTTGGTTAATTATACTTATTCTATATTTTCACCTTTGGTACGGTCAGTCACATATATGTTCACATATAGGAATGGGAAAGGCCAAAACCTGGCAGAAGACCTGATATCTTCCCACAATTTAGCCCAATGAAAACTCCACTGCCAACTCCGCTGCCAGAAGACCCTCCTGAAGAGGACGAAGAAGAGGAGGAAGAAAAGAATGAGGAGGAAGAAGAAGATCCAGATCAACAACCAGATGAGAATTCCAGGATGCAACATGGAGGATGGTTTTGAGCAATAACATCTTGCAAAGAGAAGTTTTTGATTTGTTGATCCAGCTAGGAACACTGTAGCTACAGCCTGTATGAAGTTTCATGTGACACTTTCCAGTTATCCACAAACGATGGCTATAAGAGTGCAAACATTTCTTAGTTTTTTTGTGTCTGTTATTATAATATATGTTGCGACTCTCTAGTTATTTTGCTCTGATAATGCCGAAATTTGGCTTAGGTTTAGCGAAGATTGAATTTATTTTTGTCATAAACATTGCCTTCATTTAGGCAACATGTTGCACGTTGCATCCCTTCCTCTCAAGAATGTTGACAGTCGAAAGATATTGGCATGTGCCTTGTTAGTTAATATATTAACGGAGTTATCATGGAAAGAAAAGAATGTCTCTCTTGCCACTCAGGTTGATAAAATGTCAAGAGGAGGATAAATGTTAAGAGGGGGACTTTCATTATGTTACACTAGGGGTCTTATTCAGGAGGGACCAAATTAAAGATTTTCCCCCGACATCAATCTTAGTGCAGATGGTATCTCGGAAGCTCAGGACTTCTAACTTGGAGTCACCTTAGAGACACCTCATAGCCACATCAGAGGCCACCTCGGATACTCCTATGCCCTTATGTATGAGCCATGTTAGTTTGACTTAAACATTGATAATGATTTCCCTTAACATTTTTGATATTAAAAGGAGGGTCTGAATGGAGAGTTAACTCATGGAATGGTGGGCGCGAGGGTCACCATCAACTGAATGCAAAACGAGGAGCAGAGCAACTTAGGTATAACTTAGCGAAGTACCTAAGCCGCATGAAGAGAGCCAGCATAGAAGATGAAACATGGAGCGGAGGCACAAAGCTTTCTTTGGAAAGAGATCAAAGACATGAACTCTTGCTGAGGAAAGAGCGAGATCATGTCATTCCATGGGTCCTTTATTATGATGGAGCGGACTCATCTTGGATGGTCCCAAAGACGAAGGGAGCTTCGTGGCACATGCATCTTATCTCGGAGAAGCATTTGATGGAGGAACTAAGGAAACTCAACTTGCGGAGGCAAAATTGGGTTTAGAATACCTTGGCACGGGGCAAGAGGACGCGAAGACGGGTACACTTGAAGAATATGCCATAGTGCTACCATTCAAGTTACCATAAAGGAAGCGATGCGCAGCAAAGATTATGCTGGTATGGGCAGAGGCCTAGGATCCAGACAATGGTACACTAATTTCAGCGAAGTCGATGAACTTCGAGAGCTACTAGGCGACGGATTGTCCTATAGCGATGCTTCGTCTAAGTGTGACCCGAGAGCAGGTAGACGAAGGTCGATTGCCAAAAGAGCGAACACAATCGAAGGCGAAAGAAGCCCTGCGATGTATTGATAGAGGCCACACATGGAGGGATCACAATCCGAGTTCATCCCACAAGGATCAGAATGCAATGGAGATATCACCAAAAGGCGACATGGTGCAACATATATAATGCGATACACACGAATCCATACAGAGGTATGATCGAGAGTTACTAAGAGCTCTACTTTGGTGAAAAACACGAGGACAAGAAGAGCTATGGATTCAAGGAGTGAAAGCTATGGTACTACAAAGGTGGGTCTTCCGTGCGTGTATCGAATTTTACATCGGGTGAAAGCTTTGATCATCAGCATATGGGGATTGTGTACCACCGAGGAAAAAGTTCGAATGCAAGTACCAGTGAGTCCCATGGGAGAGATTTGATCATGCAGAGGTATAATCAAAGCAATTGGAGAGTTAGACTACTCCAGAACTCACATTCGCTTAAGGGAGCCCGACAAGTCAGAAGACAAGGCTGAGTAAGCAAACGTTACTTCTAAGGAAGCTAAGGAGAACATAATCGGTGCGAATCCTACAACATGATGACAGAGGCCATGCATGAAAGTTACCATCTGTCTTTCCATCGACTAAGGGAAACTACTTGGAAAACACAGAGGTGTTGAAGTACAGGTCAAAAGGGGCGGAGAAACGACGACAAGTCCAAAAGGACTTAGCTACCCAAAACAAAGCATCGGTTAGAATGGAGGTGAACTCGAAGGAGTGCCATAGAGACATATTTACAGATCGTAAAGATAGAGATGCAGATATGAGACGACGGATAGTAGGGTCATAGGTATGACAGCACTATGGTACTGTAAAGGTAAGACTTCCGTGAAATCATCGATCCCTTGCTCTCATAGAGGGAAAGCGTTTGGTCGTGAAAGGGGTCGAGGAGGTAGAGCTTATCATCAAGAAAGCCGAAAGTGAAGAACTTTGGGTCATGCAAGAGTGCACGATCAAGGAACAAAGCAAGCAGTATGCGATGATGTACCTTTGCTACTCAGTGGAGTAGACAACAAGATTAATGGAGAGACTTACTCCAAGTTGGGGTGAAAACTTTCTACATTCTAGAAGTTCGATGGTATTGAGAAGGTGAATCACAATAGCTAACTCAACACAAGAAGTGTAAACAAGTGCTTCAGAAATGTGAGCAAAGAGCAGACGAAGGCCAGTAACCAGCTCGATGTATGGAGTATAACTCTTGAGAAGACGGGCGAGCAGAGGAGCTCTACACAGGTTCAAAAACTTAAAACTTCAAAAATTTACGAAGCGATATTTGTTAAAACTCCAACAAGCATATGATGAATTCATCATGTATGCTTCCATGTTAACATGTTTATTTAATTATTATAATATTTTGATGTATATTATTATGAATTTAATAAGTTTTATAAAAACATTCTAAAATCTTATTTTAGATTTATAAAATATGTTTGAACCAAAATTCGATTTGTTTGATTAAAAATCGAACATTTATTACATCCCATTTAGTTTTATTGAGAGATTTTGATGGATATATTATCATTAATTTTAATTATAATTTATATTCAACGGAATTAATGTATTAATTATTTTATCAAATCATATCATCACAATTGGTATCAAAATCAATCTAATAATTAAGTATAATAACAGATTCAAGTAATAATTAGTATTAAAACTACTTTGTTATAGGGTACGAGGAGATTCGAATAGAATGAAGAAGACGATTAGATTGGTTGAGAAAATTCTATAACATGTTTAAATTTCTAATCATATTCTTTTCCTAATGAGATAACACTTAGTGCTAATATTGACCATAAGATACTTATGATGCATGGAACCAACACCAACATCGGCATGTCACCATCAATTTCGATTTAGCAAGCAATTAGTTTCATCAAATTGGTGACCAAATAATGAGTTTTGTTGTCCTAATATGTTAATGTAGATATAAAGCTCCTTCCCATGAGATTCTATTGAAGTATACATGTGAATGTATATATCAAATGCTTCCCATGAGATTATATTCAAAGTAAGTCATGAGTTCCGATCTAATATGTATCATAAATCCGTTCTTTATTTGGGTTTGTATCATGTTTCTGTTTGCTAGTAAGAGATGTTTCATAAATTCCGAGATTCTTATCTGTCTCCGAATGCGCGAGGCTGCCGAGAAGCGGGGCGGGGCGGGGAGCAGAGCTGCGGCGTTGTTTCTCCAGGGAGCGGTCGATTCCCGGCTCTTCCGACGAGGAAGAAACGTAAGCCCTTGTGCGTAACCTCTCCGCTTTCCTTCCCCAATTTATAGACGGGAACGAGAAAAATAAAAGCGAGAAAAAAATGGGATAAATTTCTGTTCCGTTTAAACCTTCGTATCCAAACACGGGAACGGAACAAAAAGATGAATCTTCCTTGGTATGTCCGGCACTTTTGGCAGCCGTACACGTGGACGCAAGATTTTACACTTGGTAGGAAATCTTTTTCTGTTATGATATGATAAATTCTGTTTTGATTTTATTTATTGAGTTGGAAAGACAGTTTTATTCCAACTAATAAAGGATTTCCTTCTTTGATGGGGTTTTTGCCTTATATAAAGGATTCTTGGGTTCCTCTTGGGTCAATCAATCTTTCTCTTCTTATCCTTATCCCTTTCTTGCTTGTATGATCAAGAAGTCACAATTGCAAACTTGAAAAAGAGATCAGTAAGGGCAATGCATCACTTGTTTTGTTATTTTGTTGTGTTTATCTGTTGATATGTGTCTTAGAGAGGTGTACTACTTGATTGTAATCCATGAGTAGAACTTTCTGAACTGCATCAGTGACAGGGAAAATGACCTTGGCAATGAGGCTGCCTTTTGTGACTTACATGAGTCATGAAGATAGGTAACTTTTTGTTTGGCAAGATTGCAAACATTAACCCTCTTCAGATACCATGTTGATAGGAATTATTTCTTATGGTGTTTGATAAGGGAGAGAGTACCAAGGAGTTGTTAAAGAAGTTCATGTACCTAGGTTAATTAGTAGTGCAAACTTGTTCTTCACCAAGGCTAATAACTAATTATGTATGAATGCAAATATTTCTTGTTTTTTTTTTTGATAATCTCATATATCTTTCTTTTAATATTCTTATAATAGTTATACTAAAGTTTTTTAATATTTTTTAATAAAGGATAAATGGTGAAGATGAGTTTCGAGCCTAAGATCTTGTAATAATCTGTTAAAGTCTTTACCAGTTAGGCTATCCCAACATTTTAAATTTTTTTAATATGTTATTTTTTATTATCCAACATGTTGATCCATAAAACATAATTGCCTTTATAATTATCTTATATTATCTTTTACATAACGAGTATATAAAAAAACTCGTAATGGCCCTCTCCATTTTAATTATTTTATTTAATTTAAAGAATAAATCTCTCGTTCTTATTGAATAAAAATTCTAAAAAAATTTAAAACTTTTACTTTTTTGATACTTCTCCTTTGTCCAACAAGGAAAAGATTTAGAGGAGAGAATTAGAGGATATAAAGGAAGAAGAAGAGGATATAGAGGAGGAATAGGAGGAGAGCCATTAGGCAGATAGGTAACCTGAGTAGCGGGTAGGTCGATGGTAACATGACAATCGGTTAATAGAGATTTGGGGTAGTTTAGCATCCTTAACCAAAATCTTGAAATAAATTCAAACCGTTTGAAATTGGCTAGCCCATGTTATGGTTTTCTATCAGATTGATATTTACCATCCAATAATAATAATAATAATAATAATAATGTGAAAATGGACGTCAAGTTGATAATTGGTGTAGTCCTATGATCACATGAAATTTGCTAGAGACATTTCTTAAGGGTAGGTTTTTATTTAATCATAAGGCTAAACCTTTGTGATCTATGGAATAAGGTTTTGGGGCATAATTGTCTCTTTGCTCACAAAGGTTAGATAACATTCATTGACTCTCCCTACTTAGAGTAATGGTAGTCTTGTGCACTAGTTTAGATAGCAAATTGTATCGATCATTTGTAATCGTCCCTGATTGTACCAATACATACTAAGTGGTATCAGTGTACTGACATGTGGTACATGGGTATATACTGAAGAAATGAAGAGGAAGAAGAAAAAAGGAGAAGAGGAAAATGAAGGAGGAAAAAGAAAGAGGAGACAGTGGAAGAAGATAAGGAAGAATAAAAAAAAGGAGAAAGAACGAGGAAGAGAAAGGGAGAAGAGGAAACAATGGATGAAGAGGAGAAGAGGAGGAAGCATACTCGAATCAAGTGTACGATAGGCAATAGTAGGTGGCTTGGGCTCTATGTGTAGGACGAAGAAGGCTCATGTTCTAGCCGTTGTTTAGTAGGTTTTTTTCTTTATTAAATATGTCAGATCTGACCACTCGAAATGGCGGCGGACCACATAGTCAGTCATGCCTGACTTGGTATATATCGCTCATTTCATATTGGCTTGAGCGAAATCACATGTTGCACAAGGCACATTTACATTCATTAAACTTGTGATTCTCTATTATATATATCTTTGAATCAATATAAATATAAATTCATTTTCAATTGACTATAATAAATCTCTATGAAACTCTATTATATACTTTTTAAAAAATACCATGGTACTTTTTCTAAATTTTTGTTAATTCTCTCAATAAAAAATAATTTCCATGGTTGATCTTCTAGGCTAAAATACTTGTTTGGCATTTCATTCTTCCTTCAGTTACACTCTCCAAGTTTCATAATGTGGCTTGTTGGTTTAATATCTCTATGCTGTTACAGATCAATTGCCACACTTTACAGGCAGGTGGCTTGAGTGGCACACTGTCAATAATTGAATTCCAATTGAGATAAAATTGTTAGGAAGAACTAGTGAAGGGACACTGGTTCATTTCCTGGACTATTGAATTCAAAGAGATGAGAATGCTCATTATGTCTTAGATGCATTAATCAATTCCATTTAGTGAGATCTTTCAGTCACTTTTATGACCAATATAGGCATAACACATAGCATCTATATCACAGTTCTGAAACACGTGCAAAATCACTTCATGTCAATCTATTTTGGTAATGGCCATGCTGTGACAAGCTAACAGATGATTATTAGCTTGAGGTGCCCTGAGATGCAAAATCTTGCTTTCATATATGTAATTCTTTTATTTTCTTATGTATATATGCATGATATCATGGTCTTTGTACATTGGTGGCATGGATTTTTCTCATATGTTTTGGCATGATGTTGTGTGGCATGATGTAACATGCTAAAAATTAGGCGGGCCATGGTACAAAATTGCAAACAACACAACATGGGTACTGTATAAGGTTCACAAAAAATTAGACTAGTCAAGGTTCATAATCGCAAAAAATTAGATTAGTCAAGGTTTGCAATTTTGTGTATTGATATTGTATTGGTAAGGACTTGTATTGATACAAAACTTGGCACATGGGAACATACCGAGTTTTGAAAAAATACTTGAAGAGTGAAAAAAAAAAAAATTTGCATGTTATAGGGTTGGAACCACCCAGTATCGGTTTAGAGCCTATACTGGGTGTATCACCTGATTTACCTTGGTTCGCGTACTAGGAATATGTTGGATGGGCAAATACCATCCATACTGAAATATACCAGGTGACAAGGATCATCGTTTTGAGTATTAGACCCATTTCTGTGATCTATTAGACTAGTATATACCAAGTAGTACTGGTGTACTGACACACTACATCGGTATGTACTAGTGTTTCAGTGAGGAAGAAAAAGAGGGAGAAGAGGAAGGAGCGGTGCAGGAACAGAGGAAGGAGGAAGAGGAAGCGGTGAAGGAGGAAGAAGAAGGAAGAAGAGGAGGAGAAGCAATGGTAGCATACCTAGGAAGCAGTGAAGTAGCAGAAGCAACGTTGAATGCAAGCACAGGACTCATGAACACAAGCCCTAATTTTTATTTAGAATTTTTTTCTATCGAGTTGGATGGGTCCCATTATATTTTTTATATTTTTTATTGTTTTTATTCAACTAGACCTAGTCGCCTGAAATGAGGGTGGTCCGTGTATTGGCCTATGCCTGGATCGGTACATACCCGCCCATGTTATACCATTTTGGATGGTTCAACAGTCCTTGCTGGCATTGCAAACCTTGTTCGTAACCTACCCAATGGTGTGCTATCATAAACACTAGCATTCATACACTTAGTTTTATTATTTTGTGAAGTTTCATTGAAGTTGCTTCTATTCTGTTTACAACATAAAATGATGTCATGATGGTTAGACAAGATGAATAATTAATTGGGGGGAGACATAGACAAAGACATAATATTTTTGAAGACTGTATAAGAATATATATTCTTTTAGGTTTATTGGTGATATTGTCTCATCAAAGCTCAATGGCAGGAATAGGTACATGTGAGAGACCTCCACAAATGGTTTTGATCGCACAATTCATATAACCTAAAGTGATATGGAATGGGTGTCTATTCATTAATGTAAATTGAAGTGGACAATGAAGTTGATGAAATTACATTCTCTCTTGTTCAGATTTATAGTTCTGATATACTTGTAATGCCTATCACCAAAAGTATTAATTTCCAAACTGTTTAGTGGAGTATTATTATCTTTAAAGTTTAACAAATGATTTGAGTTTCATTTCTTTGAATTTACATGTTCCTTGCATGATGCAATGAAAGGATGAGCTGTTGATGAATATTACCATGAGATGATTAGTGAAGTCAAGAAATTTACATTTTTGTTTGTCGGTTTGTACCAGCAGATTTGGATCAGCATAGGTCATTTTAGTCAAGCAGAGAGGCAAAACCTATAATTACATAGAGATTCATTTAGGATCGTTTTTTTCTTGCGGGATTACCTGGATGATCAAGGATTGACTAAAGAATCAAGCTTTCTACTTGTAAGGCTAAGGCTGCATATATTGACCCTTTCTAGACCTTGCATTGGCAGGTCTTGTGCTTTGGTTTTGCTCTTTTTATTATTTTGATCACCAGCAAAACACAGAATAGAATCTTTACATATAATATGATTTTCGGATTTTTATTGCTTTTTCTGTAAATCTGGTTCGTCATTACAAGGTCAATAAAGTAACTATTTGTTATTTAGAATAATACCTTACCCTTGTTCAGAAATATCTATCTATTCTGTAGATATTGAGCATCTAGTTGGACAATCTAAGGTATGCACTTTATATGATGCAGTACTTGTCATAATTAATAATAGTCTAATACTATAGTGCTGTCCTATTTCAGATGAGTATTCTGGACGCGTGTGGTAATGAAGAAATCAAAATACAGGTGAAGGACTGGAAGCCAAATATATTGTCAAATATTGGTAAAGAGAAAGCATATTCTGCAAGTGTAAATGATCAAGCAGTGTCTCCAAATTCTGTCATAAGTGAAGGATTTGAAGAAAACAGAAATTTGCAAATATCAAATAGATTCTTGACTCATTCGGGTATATCAGGACAAGGGATGTTTTCTGCTGATCGATTTAGCCCTGCATGTCATTCGAGTGGTTCTTGTGCTCCACTGGGCATGCAATTCTGGAGTGCTGGGGATTATGAAGTTCAACAATTTGTTGGACCAGCATCTCATAGTATGTGATTTTCTAATCTAGCTATTGTAGTTTCTTCCAAAATTTATTAGATACTTATGAGCTGTCATTTTTGCATTTACAGATAATCAAAATCGTCTGTGTGTTCATCCCAAATTTCTCCATTCCAATGCTACTTCACATAAGTGGGTCTTTGGAGGTATACATACGCAACATGTTATTTCTTGTGGTTGATTATATTTCTTAGAAAATAAATTTACTGATTACCTTTTCTTTTTTAATGTTTGATATCCAGCTATTGCAGAACTTCTTGATAATGCGGTTGATGAGGTAGAATCTACATATATTTTCTTTAATACATGGCTTTATTTTCTTATTAAATTTAATATGGTTGTTTGGGATGTTCTTTTTTTTATATGATTGAAATTTTAATTGGACATTGTGGATAATTGGTTTCTAAGAAAGTACATTCGAGGTTTTTATTTGCATTAAATTCTGTCTTCTTGAGATTATCAGGTGAATTAATTATGTTGACAAACTATGTATGCTGACAAATAAAATTTTCTCTATATTGCTTTCATGATGCAGATATGCAATGGGGCTACTTTTGTCAAACTGGACAAAATTATTAATCAACGAAGTGGCAGCCCTGCTTTGCTGATTCAAGGTAATTTGTTCTTAGTTGTTATTAAAATAAAGTCTTGGAGCTGCTTTCCTTCCTCTTTTGGAGGTAAAGGAGGTGTCCTACATAATTGAATTGTTCCTTATTTTTTATTTGTGATTTGTGTCAAGATGATGGAGGTGGAATGGATCCAGAATCCTTGAGACACTGCATGAGTTTTGGATTTTCTGATAAACAATCATGTTCAGCCATCGGACAATGTATAGTTCTACTAATTGGTTGTTTTCAATTTTGTCATTATATATATTTCAACTATTTATAAAAATTGTTCAACATGTATGTCAGATGGAAATGGTTTCAAGACTAGCACAATGAGACTTGGAGCAGATGTGATTGTTTTCAGCCGCTGCATGAATAAAAGGTATCACGCCATGTAAATACCATGTCTTATTCAGCACAGCAAGAATTTTTCTAAAGTTCTAATTTTATTATACAAAAGATCCCATGCCGTCATCATTTTGGCACCTGGTAGTGATGCTTTGGAGTTTGAATGAGATGAGGGGTTGTATTGGGTTTGTGTCACATAATATCAGGTTTTTTTTATGGAATTGTACTGCATTGTTACACATATTACATAATATAGGTTTATCTGCACTGTCAAAACGGAGTCTGTATCCGATGATGAGTGAAAATATTTTAGGTCTTTCGATTCGTATGGGGTTTTATGATTGCAATAAATTACAGGAGGACCTGGTCTTACTGATGCAAAGGGTTCAAAACTGAAGGAAGTCTTTGTTGCGGGAAGGGAAGTTGCATTTTATTCTTTTTTTTGGACAGCTCAACATATGGAACTTTCAAGATTTGCACTTTTCCTTTACAAGTAGCTTCCTAGATTAATTTTCTGTTACAAAAGAATTAAAGTAGTTTGAATCAAGGTCTTCAATTTCGAATAATACCATCCGGTACCGGGCGGTATATATATATATATATATATATATATATATAGGCGATGTCCCCCCCACGTGGGGAGAAGAGAGGCGACATCGTCTTGTTTTTATATATATGCAGATTTTTTTTACTTATATATATATATATATATATATATATAGAGGCGATGTCGCCCTGCCTGGGGAGAAGAGAGGCGACGTCACCGAAAAAGATTTTTTTTACTTTATATATATATATATATATACTGAAATACCTCGCTCGGTATACAGTACCGAGTGAATCTCGAAACTCCAGTATGGTATGATATTTTAATCCTTGGTTTGAATTATAATATTTAATAAAAATAGGAGAAAATTATGCTTCTAATGCAATAAGTTATATGTTGTTTATGATCATATCTATTTTTGGCTTTGGAAATTATTTAGCAGTTGCCCTTGTTTTTATACATTTCAGGTGCTAAATGGGTATTTGTGATGGTTCTATATCATGTTTATGCCTCATAACTCATAAGTCTTACCTTCATTAAATATTGAATTTTTAAAATAATGAATTAATATTATCTCTTCTTCCAGGGTGTTAACCCAGAGTATTGGACTCCTTTCTTACACTTTTTTGAGGCAAGAAGGTTACAATGATGTTGTAGTGCCAGCAGTATGTCCAAGTTAACAATTTTCCGTGGTTCTGTTTATGTTTTCTTCAAGTAGTTGATTATTAAATTTTCATGGCTTTCTTCATTTTGTTTAGAAACCATCTGTTAGTTATATGCCTATTTTGTTTCCTCTAGGTGGATTACTACTTTGATCCGTCCAAGGGTGTATTTACAAATATACTTCGAAATGGTCAAAAGCAATTTTCCTCCAATTTGTCGATGCTGTTGAAATGGTCCCCTTTCCTGACAGAAACTGAGCTGCTAAAGAATGTAATTTTTAATATTTGTTCTTTCCATGTCTTGTCCTAAAGTCTCGGTGATTTGCATTTTGACATACTCTTTGAAGCACATAAAATACAGTTCATTTCCAAGACATACTTTGGAAATGAACTGTATTTAATTTTACAATATTCTACCTAGCAAAAATTATTGGGGAGTTACATAAAAAGAATAACTACAAGAGCCCATAAACTTTTTCTAAACAATTTTTTACTTCTATTTTCTTAGGATTGAGGGAGAATTTCCATGGGTTATCAGCCCATGCTGCAAAATGTTGGTATTACTTTTTACTACCCTAATTATCTAAAAATATATGCAGAATGAAAGGACATCTCTTTCATCTACAAAATAGTCCAAAATTGAGATTCTTTTCTCTAATTTTTTTTCAGAAAGATATCAATGTTATTTATCACACTTATTCTTAATTTAAAAAGTTGTACATGAGATTTTCTTCTTGTACTGCTCCAATTTAGTGATGAGATTCTAAAAATATCATCTTTTATAAATATATATGAAATGAACTTTTTAACATTTAATATTTTGAACTGATAGTTCAAAATTTAACTTTCTTTGAGGACCAATTCTGCAATTTTCTCATATGATTTTTGGCTACATAGGAAGTTTGTCATGTTTGACCATGGAAATAAAGTCACAGTGACCAGAGGTACAACAACTTGATACGTGCTTATATCTGATACTTATGTACAACTGTGTTCATTCTTCAGCAAACATCCATCTCCAGTTGGAATGTGTCCTAGCAAAATGACTATTAAACTGGTTGAAATTGGCAAGACAAGTCATTGATTTTCTGTAGTAAATATGCTGATAGTGTTGCTGATGCATGCCTCCTTATTGGTTCATACTGAATACTTGCTCATGTATTATTACATTTTCTTCAGCTAAATTTAAGTCGAACTTAAAGTGATAATGCTCCTTTGCCCTGTACGGTTTTCAAGAACTTAAATTTGATCTTCATACTCTGTCAACAATGACAGCATTTTGTTTTCTTAATAGCTGTTGATTCATGCATGTATTTTGCTCATACAATTGTATGTATCTTCTCTTTCTTTTACACTAGCATATAAATTCAAACTAATTTTATTTTACTGGGCAGTTTGATGACATCGGACATAACGGCACAAAAATAATCATATACAACTTATGGTTTAATGACATGGGAAACATGGAACTTGATTTTGAATCTGATGAAAAGGTTCGCAATTCTACCTAATTTTTGAGTCAATGAAGTTATAATTTACTGCAATTTATGGTTAGGAAATTCTTAAACAGTTATATTTGAAGCCTGTGATCATTATGGATAATGTTACCAAATATCACATTTCTACCTTTTAAAAGGTCTTATTTCTATAGCTTGTGATTTTTTCCAAATTCCAAACAAACTGTCTCGAACCGTGGAAGTACATTTAAAAGCTTTTAGGTGTACAAGTACCTTTTAATGGCTCAAAACCTTTTGATCTGGTTTTACTGCTACTATTTTCTTTTTGCAGGATATAATTGTAAGTGGAGCACCAAAGCAGGTGGAAACAAACAACATTTCAGTGACACTAACACAAAACCATATTGCAACTAGACTTTGTTTTTCTCTTCGAGTAAGTTTTATGTTTATGAGTTAAATTTATCTTAGAATGCTTGTTTTGCTATTGACAGTTATGTTAGAAATCTTACAGGCATACTCCTCCATTTTGTATTTGCACACACCGGAATATTTCAGAATTATTTTACGCGGGCAGGAAGTTGAGCATCATAGTATAGCCAGGGATCTCAAATTCTGCGAATGTATCAAGTATAAACCACAAGTTGGAGGAAGAATAGAGGTTTGTGCTAAAGTCAATGCATTTGCAACATTTGTAAAAGTTAGTGGTTAAACCAATGTTTTGCTATTTTGCTTATCCAATCTATCCGTATTATAGTGAAATGGAAAACTATTATCTGATTAGCTACTTTCTGACAGTTTGATCAGTACATGATTGTGCAAAAAACTAATGATGTTAGAAAAACAAAAACATTTTAGTGAGCTTTTTTAGTTGGGCGAGGGTTTTTGCATCAGTCTCAATACATCATTTATTGCATCGGCCTTGATGCATCATACTTATTGAAGAAACATTTGTGCAGAAGAACTGAAGAATCCTATTTGTACAAAGTTTAATATCTTATTTACTGATCAGGCTTCAGCTCAGTATTTGACCAGTTGTTTGCCAGATTAGTTTTCATGATACCAGTTCTCTTATCAACTGATGCAGCAAAAAATATTCTCAAGAATTAAGAAATTTTATGTTACTCAACTTTCTGGGGTGCTGATTTCTTGCGGTTTACATTTCTTTTATGTCAGAAGCAGAATCTAAAGGGTGCTCTCTCTATATATATGTATATGTATATGTATATATTGTCAACCATAAGAATACTTTAATGTCCTTCAATAATAATCATATTGTATCTCTAGAATCTGAAAGATTTTTTCTTGTGTAACATAGTACCTCATACATTTTAGTTATCACGTTTCTCTCTCTTAATGCAGGGTGAGGTTATCACTACCATTGGCTTCTTGAAAGAGGCTCCACTTGTCAATGTTCATGGATTTAATATCTACCACAAGAACCGTCTAATCTTGGTAAGACGTATGCTTCATTTAACCTTCAATCATAAGCTACAAGTTTACTTCAGATTTAAAACTTATGGTTTTTATCTGAGAAATAAATTCTGGTGGTAAATTGCAGTTCAGATTTGCAACTTCTTTTCAAAGCCATTTGACTTGCTTGAATATTATGTTTTATGTGACTACAATTTTTTTTCTTCTTGTAATACATATTAAATATTCTTTATTCTTTCAGCCATTTTTCCAAGTGGCATGCACATCAGGCAGTTGGGGTAGAGGAGTTGTTGGTAGGAACTCAAATATTCTCTCTCTTCTAATTTATTGATCAACATCCTGTTACCCTTTTGCAACTTGGCTTCTGCACACAAGTTGTTGGGACTTGCCACTGCCCATTAATCTTCTTTTATCCTTATTGGTACCTTGTTTAAATTCTTATAAATGTCTGGTCCTTTTAGGTGTACTTGAGGCGAACTTTATCAAACCTACACACGATAAGCAAGGTTTTGAAAAATCAAGTCTATTTACAAAACTTGAGACCCGATTAAAAGAAATGACATATGAGTACTGGTAAGATTTATTTCATAGTGTGCATATGGAATTTATACATGAAGAAAATGTACTTTTGTGCTTATGTATCCACCTTTTTATAAGTTTCTTTTCTATCATTTAAGATCTAGAGGTCCTTGTATAAAGTATTTATAGTGATGCAAGCAACTATCGAGAGCAAGGTGTTAAATCTTAATTTTATCGGTTGGTAGGGACCAGTATTTACTCATCCGACTGAGTACTAGCTTTAAAACATAAATCTTGATACTAGCACACTATCATTTACTTTTCACCTTTTTATTATTTTAATCATGATACAAAGTGATAAGGTTTTTAATCTCGCACCATACAGGTGTACCGAGTGGTACGCCTAAAATAGATATAAAACCTCTGAAAAGACCTAAAAATAGAAAAAAAAGTTAGAATAGGGTTTTTAAGTTAGAAATAAATATTCATTTAGTATAGTTTTAGCAAAACTAATATAAATCAGGTAAGAATAGTATCACATATATTTTTCGGGCTTCGAGGAGTTACCTTGTGCAAGGTTTGCAATTTTGGTCTGTTCTGAATCGTTCTTCCGTTAATATTGAATTATCTACAGAAAAATTATTTGAATTGTTAGATTATTTTTTATACAACTTCAACTTTAAGATTCAAATGAATTAAGTGATCACATGTGTATATATACTTGATTTTACCACCAAAACAAACGACGGACCTTCACAGGAGTGGATCGAGGTCCTCGATCCTATGTATCTGTATATCAATATTATATGTTTGTCAGACTCAATCCTAAAATTGATCCCATAACATAGTGCATTGATACATCGTATGTCATTGGTGCATCAATGTGGTGATGTTCGTAAGTTAATCGTCTTGAATCACATGTGTCCGAGGTGGCTCCTGAGGCATGTATTAGTGAATGTCAGAACTTTTACTTTTGCCAGTGATCTGCTGCTCCGTATCATATTATTGCTCGAAGAAGTATGACCAACTATCATCATACTGTTGTTGGCCATAAAATTCTCCATAATACAACGACTGTGAATACGATGAGCTTCATTCTGTATCTACATCGTGTAGGCTCTGTCGTATCTGCTCAAAATCATCCATTAGCTTCCCCTTTTCCTCCCCCTTCTGTGCATAAACTTGACCAATATCTCGTCGAGTACCGGTCAAAAGTATCTCGTCGAGTATCTTGTTGAAATCGATTGGTACTAGCCGGTATAGGTCAGTAACGGTCGAAATTGACTGGTACCGCCTGGTACAACCTCGTATCGCCTGATATGCGGCCAAATGCCTGATACCGTCCAGTAGCTGGCGATCTGCGTGCCTTATTTGCTGGCGAACCGATACGTACCGCCCGTACCTAGTGGTATGGTATGGTATTACAAACCCTGCCAAGTGGTACAAATCGATATATTTTCTAATACTGGTGCTAAACAGTTGATTAGAGAGTTAGTGAATTCAACATCCTACTCTCTTCTTTTCCTTCCCTCTTTCCTTGCTTTTCCTTTTCCCCATTGTGGATGCTCTGTTTTCTTTTCTCCCAATCTCCCACCCTACCATCTCCGCCCTCTCTTCCTTTGTTTCCCTCCCTTTTCTTTTCTCCTCTCCTCTCTCTGTGGCCGGTGTTCACTGTTGTTGTCTTCTTTGCGGTCTTGTCTGCCTATACCTAGCCAACAACAATCATAACTATTGTCCTCTCCCTCCTTCCTTAACACCTTTCCTCTCTCCATATTTCTGTCATCTTCTCTTTCCTCTCTCTCTCTTTTTATCCCCCTTTTAATGGCACAATTAATATATTTATTATTACAATTCAAATTTTGCTTGAAGTATAAGGACAACTACAGGTGCAAGAAACATTAAAATGTGTTCTGGATGAAAGTGCAATTATTCAAATGATCCAAAGGATTCTAATTCTATCATTTTCATGTTTTGTGACAAAAACACTAAAAGGTGTAACATTTCTAACAAAGCAATGTCAAATTCTTGTTCTAATATAAAGATAAAAATTCATATTTTAATTTAAGTTCTTGTTTTAAGGAATGTCTATATCCTTGATTATATTTTCATAATTTATGTGAGATAAGCATCTTATTTTTCTGGGGGCAAACGCCTAGCATGAGCAGGAGGGACCTTAGCACCTTATATCGCCTAGTGCTTTCAACAACACTAGATGGGACTTGAATTTTGCACACTGCTTCAGTCTCATTGGGCTTCTGGAATTATGTATTTAACTAAAGCCAATTGAGATCATGTTCTTTTGCTATGTTCTCTGAAATGAATTTCTTCCGGCAATAATGGCTGCATTTGCTCTCAAGCTTTTCCTAAAAGAAAATAGAGCACTGGCATGTAAGTGATACATAAAAGGCAAAATATAGATTTCCCGAGACAAAATAGTGGCTATAAGGTGAAACAAAAGTCTTGGAGTTTGTTTATTGTGTCAAATTTTGTTTGTTGGTTTGACACAGCCACTTCATTTGATGTATTAGTTCTGCTTTACACCTTTAGAGACTGTAATATTTGCCTCGTAAGGTTTCATGTTTTGCATTGACAGGGAGTATCATAGCCATTTGGTTGGTTATACAAAGAAAATTTCCCATTCAACACCACCTCTGGCTGTTGTTCCTTTCCCACTGCCTCTTTCCTCAGGATGCAACATTAGACCCATCCCAGTAAACCCTGAATTTTTAACAGACACAAGGAGGAAGTCCTCTCATACACTGCAAGGCATTTCAGCTATGGGTACATCGCATTCCCCCAAAGAAGCCATTCCTGGACAACTTAGTACCAAGCACAACGCAAGTTTTATAGAAGGTGATTTACATGCTTCTTCTATATTAGTAACAGCAAGAGTTTTGGCTTATGTTGTTCATTTTATGATGTGCAAAATAGGACTGACGAGAAAAAGAGGATATGAAGATTTTAATGCTGCAAGGGAACCTCTTAAAAGACAAGCAATGATGTGCAGTACTAGAGAGAAAGCTGGAGAGCAAAAGAAAGGAGGGCAAACCAATTACAAGCCTGAGGTTAGTAAATAAATCAGAGTTGGAAGACATCATGGACTTTATTGTTAAACTATGTAATTTAATAATTCCTTTTAGTTGTCTTTTCAAAATTTAGTGATATTGCTCTAAATAGTGCTTACTATAGCTTCATGCTGTTATTATTTTTCTAGAGGTTAAATAATCATTCAAATTACTAGAAGAATGACACAATACACAAGGCTTCCACCAATGTAGAGTCTAGAAAGGGTCGATATATGCAGTCTTGACACTCATAAGGATATGGTTGTTTTCATGACCTAAATTCTATCATCTAATCACAGAGAAGCATCCTGTTCATGACATCAAGGCCCAATCTTTTAAATTAATCTTCAAACTATAGATCATTCAAAAGTTGAATATAACAATGGTACATTTAGTAACATGAAAAAAGGTGACTTAATTTTTGACTTGAAGTACTTATTGAAGAGAATATATAAACTTGTGCATGTCTGTCTAGTAATGTAAACGTGTACTTATGTCCATCAGAGAATGAAACATAGGACAGGAACAGTGAATTTGCCTTTAATTCTGTATATGATTGTTGCTGATATATGTAAATCTTGTTGCAGTGGAGTAATTGTGAGAGGCAGTGTCATGTTCAACAGGTGAAAACCATGATGCAAGAAAACAATAAGTTACGCAAAGAGTGAGTCAAACTTGTCATTCAAGTACACCAATTAAATATGCTTCTTTGGTTTACCGTTATTGTTGATTATATGATATCCCTAATGGATCATATGAACCTTTACTTATAGTGGTTTTTTTCTGGTTTTTCTTTCTTCAGGTGCTTGGAGCAGGAAAAGATACAGGAAGGGCTGTTGCTCAAGGTAATACTTTAACAACCAGACACCCCATTTAAAGTTGCTTGTTTGAACTCAAAGTTTAACTATAATTTTTGAACAAATACAAAAGTTAGTATAATCACGTAACATTGGACATATTCCATTGTCATATTTGTAATCTTGGATCTGTTTGGCAGTATCAAAATCTTGTACTTGAGCTTGAACAAGTTAAGCAGTGGTATGATACAATATCGGTCGAGCTTTTATCTATGGACAACACTAAAGTGGAGAAACCATGAATTATGGAGAGCCTCCATGAGTACTCATTTGAGTTAGCAGGAACCATGTAATAGCAAAAGTTTTGAAGTTCCGAGTATATATACATCACAGGCCTAAAAGGAAATCTTGTAAATATTAGCCCAACAAATTTTGTATTTTTGTGCATATTTAACATCAAATATGTCCTAATAAAGACTTTCTCAAAACAATGTGCTCTTCAAAACGACCACCTTGTGCTTTTCTTGTAATCTTTTTATTTCTTGGTCTTCGGGCTCGAAATCAAATGTGATATGGCCTTGTTTGGTCATTCTATAATCTGAAAGTAGATTGCATAGAAATGGTTTCTAACACTTAAGTGGTTTACAAGTTCATGTGTAATATAAAAATGTTTCTTGCATCTCTTCTTTCTCTTCCATGAACACTTATTACTGTGGATTAATGGTGTAATTTTATGTTGTTTGCCTAATTGACAAATTGGATTGTTATATGCCGATGAGTTTGCTTGAGTTAGCTAAGTTAGTTTGGTTGGTGCTCCAGTGTCCAAGATTTTCACTAATGTGAAGTATGAAGATGATCTATCAATATATGTAATTTTGCACTTAATTTTACGACTTGCTATTATAAATATTACAATTTTAAAATATATACATATGTATAATCATAAGCATAAAACAATAAGTGGCAAAGATATAAAGATAGGACATTTTGTATATAGTGGTAGTAGCATACTTGTGTTTGATTAAAGGATATCTAATTCATGTCGATTTCATAAATGTCGGTAACCAAAAGTGGAGTTAAGACCTTGCATCTCATCGTCTCCAATCTTGAGGAGTGAAGAGGTGCAGAGAGGAGAGGTTGAAGAAGAGGATCCTTAAAGTGAAGTTGGACCTCGAGTCTTATCCTCGAGATGCAGAGCAGAAAGGAGAGGAGAGGTTGAAGATGAGGATCCTTGGAGTGGAGCTACACCTTACATCTCATCCTATAAGAGAGACTTTGGAGAGTGATAGCTTAAATGCTTACGATCAAGGAAAAATATTCTCTAAATTATTTTATGAAAACTTGAGAAATGTAAGAAACCACACACTCAATTTTTGTTTTTTTCAGTAGAACCAATGGAGTGTCATATTGAAAAGTAATCTAAAGAGAATAAGAATTTACAATCAGAATTCACAGATCAAATGAAGGATTCCTCAAAATCAAATTACTTCATTGATTGTGATAGATCTCAATAATCAATTTTTTACATTTCCGATTCAAAAGCTTCCTCTGAATCTCATTTTCTTCTCAAATGTAGGTAACAAGAAAGATGAAAAATACCCATTCTCAATTATGCTAATACCAATTTAGAGCCGATCGGCATCCGTGGCTTCTTGGAAACCGGTCCCGGAAGATCTCAAGGACATGATCTATCCCTTTCCAGGTGCATTTTCCTACTCTGCTTCTAATAACCTTTGCCTAATCTCTTCTGCATTTGATATTTTACTTACACTGCATAACATGTAAACATTAATAATGAGTCAAGTGCTGATCATAAACATGCATCAAATAGTAGTAATGAAAAAAAAAATCAGAAAATCAATTTCACAGCATATCATCTTAGTCGATAAGTTGCCAAAGCTATTATTTCTTTTGAAATTTGTAATGATTCAATTAGAATCCAATTCATGATATCCAAGCTGATTATGAGTTTGAATCATGTGTTTTATCATGTTTATTTAAAATTTGTGTAGTACTTTCCTCTTTGATCGACTTGCGCTGTACATTTGGATTTAGTTTCTTCTTTTAATCTAATCCAACTTATATGTGAGATAGGTTGTTAAAAAATTATTCATTTCTAAGGGCTTAAGTTTTTGGGATTTGTGGTAATATGATCAAAATCTCTATTAGAAAGGGTTTGTGATGATCCAATCAAAATCTTTATCATAGACTTAATGCTAGGTCAATCTATAAAGTCGTAAACTCCGAACCCTAAACTCTAAAACTTAATAACAATACGGAGTATGATGCCAAAGTCGCAAGCGCAAAATAATTTTGTTTCTTGTGAAGCTTACCAACAAAGTGTGTCCCCATTACAGGCAATCTTTTCAGAGATCCAATCTGGAACTAATTCTAGCAATAGTTTCAACTGTTCTTCCACTTCACCTGCAGGTCCAAAGTCCCACAATTTTAGCTCTGAAAAATCTTCAATTTTGCATAATGGAAACATCAATCAATTTCCAACCTAATGTCAGCTGGCATACCTTGATCAACTATCTTAGAGTGACTTGAGATTAACTTGTTAGTTAACTCATGCTTTGTCATGACAGATCTCTTCCATGACTGAAATGTGAGTAGGATCATGTCAAAAATATTTGGCAAGGAAGCTATCAACTTTTGCCGTCTAATAGCATCGGCAAAGCCAGCCTGCTTCTCCTGCACTGCTTTCTGCTCCTTCACATTGATCTGAAAAATACAACAATTATAACTTCACTTGCTTTGACGTTGGCATTTGGAAAATATGAAGTCGTCGAAAACTGTTCACTGTGTCGAAGAGAGATTGTTAAGAGAATGGTAGCACATGAAACATACAGTCTTAGCAGCAATTTATATGGTTAAACAGAAACTTTGATGTGAAACATTTCCTTAAAAACTACTAAAGGATTCATGATGAACATGAAATAAATAGGAAAATCAGCACAGTGCTTATGTTTCCTTGTATTTAGCCTAAATTCATTTCAATTTTCTTGAAATGAATCTGGGAGATACCGTTCTCCCCATAGATATAGAATGGTATGAAACACTGCCTATGGTTTAGGAAGAGGAACAGGTGAATTCAGCCAATCTAAAACAAACAAATGAAAGAAAGACAATGATCAGTCTGAATTGATAATATGTAAGATCATACAAAAAAGGTAAAAGAAGGAACTTGTGCCAATGAGAGCAAGATCAATCTGTCAGTGCATCAACCATGAAATAGTAGTACAGAAGGCATTTCAAGAAACATCTTCAGAAGCTTTAGAGCTAAAACACCACAGCAAGAAGATGTGATAGGACTCACCGACTGCAAGAGAGTTTTTGGTAGAAAATTGAGAACATCATCACTGGCAGACAGACTTCCGTCATCATCACACTCATTTGCACTCTTTTCTGGAGTCATAAACAACTTTGTTCGGGCCGATCGCCTTACGGATTTGTTCGATGGGGTTGTCCTAAGTCTCTTTGATGTTGGAATTTCCGGTGTATCAGTCATTAACCTTAATGGAGTGCACACTAGCTTTGCAGGAGTTCCCTTCTCAACATTTGATTCCTCATGAGGATAGTTATCAGCTCTGGGTGACCCTGCAGCATCCCTTTCATCACCTCCTTCTACAACTGGTAAGGTTGTTGAAATAGGAGAACTGAGCAATGACTTCTTAGATATGGCAGATGAATCGACAAAAGTAGAATGATCATCTTTAGGACAAGCTTCACTAGAGCACATCGGTGGAGTTTTCTCTGGATTAAGGACGGGAATTTTGCGAGAAAAATGCCTCTTAAAAGATTGTGACATGTGAGATGGCACTAAAAATTGTTGCTGGATAGGAGCACTTGATGAGGATTTGGTGCCTGATGGATCGGCATTGATGGTCACGCTCTTATGTACACTGAGCTTTGTTGGATTAAATGGATGCGGCAGCTGCTCCTCTGGAACCTCATCTCCCTGAGATACAACACAATAAATCTATCCGCAATCTATGAATTATTGTACATCACATCTTTTTACTGCATAAAATCATAAACAATTACCAAAATTGAAGGTGAATTAATGGAATGCTGTGAAATGTACCAGGCAAAATAATCATCTTCAAAAGGGAGCACAATCATACAACATCAAATAGTCAAGATTTCTGAGCAACCTGCAAATCTATCTACACACAGGGGATGAACAGGGGATTTTTTTTGGGTACCTGGGGATGATTTTTGAAGAACTCCACAAGCCTTTCCCTGAACACTGCTCGCAAGATCGAATACCCACTTTCACTCCTCCCCTTGATGTTCTTCGCTACCGCATCAACCTGCAGAGTGACCTGAAGCTCTGGCTTCATACAGCAAGTACTCTCATCATGCAAAAGCACCTTCTTGATCATTATAGCTTCGGGCATGATGTGCTTCAACTGTGCCAAATGCACATAAGTGAATCTCCTGAGCACAGAAACTAATCTCATCAAACTCGCTTCATATCAAACCAAGAAGATCTGCAAAAGGGCAACCCAAGTAGATCAAACCGGCACCTATCCATCAAACTCTGAATACTGGTGCTGATGTTGGGGAATGTGGACATCGACCCCTTCAGCCGAAGCAAGCGGATGGAGCTCTCCATGCAATTGAAGAACTCACACAATATCTCATACCTGATCACGAGAGAAACAAATATAGGCAAAATGGAACCAAAAAAGCTATCTTTTATGTCGATCATCAATAAGGAGAACTAACGTACTTTTCAGGAAGTTTGGGAAGCGTTTTAGCTCTCGACGGCTTGGGAGTAGAACATGGCCCCGAGTCATCGACCGGCAGAGGGTCGAGATGGGAGCTACCTGCGGGCCTCTGAAGACCGAGGGCGACCCGCCGCACCTCCGTGAGGGAGAAGGCGACGCTCCGGTTCCTGGCCCTGCGCGGGTGCTGCGCCGGCTTCTCCGGAGTCCAGAGCTGGTCCGTCGTGAGAGAGGAGCGCGGCCTCTTCCTGGTGGAAACGGAAGGCTTTGGGCGGGCTTCGGAATCCATATCGTGTGCTGGGAAGAGAGAGAGAGAGAGAGAGCGACAGAGAGAGAGAGAGAGAGAGAGAGAGAGAGAGAAGGAAGCGGTGGAAGGAGGAAAGGGAGTGTTACACCGTCAACATAATATAAATACAATTGCATGAAAGAAATGAACGTTGGCGTTGAACATGACGACGTGCATGAACCTATTGACCTTTGAATCAGTGTGTGGCAGACATTGAATCCATTCTTGATCATATTTGAAATAGATAAAGGTTGGTGGTATTAAGCGAAAGAAAAAAATATATCGGATGAGAAATTATCATTCATAAAAAGATTTGTATATAAGAAAGTTATAAAAGTTTGTTTAATCATGTTGGGTGAATAAATATGAATGTTTGTGTTGAATGAATCTTTAAGACTAATTTTATATTACCCATTGTAATTAGTCATCTTTAGTATTTCGATCTTTATTTTTTTCAAAAATTATATTGAAATCTGAAATATTTACTCATGTTACTCTAACAAAATCTCCTTTTTTTTTTTACCTTATAAAATTATCTTTTTAACCATGTATATAGATTTTAATATTTCATAAGTATAAGAATCTTAATGTAACTTTTGAAATTGTAGTGATCGAAAAAAGGCTAATACATGAGGTAATATGTAATTAGCTCGAATATTTAAATAAGTGCATGACATTATAATCCTTTTAAATAAATAGAGATTCATAACGATGAGTGACTTAAAATATATTATATTACATAAGAATTTATCTTTGTAAATTGATTCGATAAAATTATATGAGTTCGTTTATCTTCTTTTACGTTTTTTAATCAAACTGACAAGCTAAATCTTGACTTTAAGATTTAGATCAAGAAAAGTTTTGAAGGAATTGAGACAGATGTATAAAGATCACTTTTCTCCTTTATCGAGATCTTAATGAGGATGATTGTAAGGAGGTTATGATCATCGATACCTCCAAACAAATATAAACAAACATGTAAGATTCTTAAAATTCCTACAAAGGGTTGAGATGATAAATGTAATCGAATTTGAAAAATGAAACATATTCAAATAGTAAAAAGTTCCCTTAACAATTATATAAAAAGGTTCAATTATTTATAGTCTTTATTCGGAAATAAAAAGACATCGATGAGCTTTTAGACTTCTTACAATCATATGAATATCTAGTCAGCAAGAAGAAATCAGAATAAATCCTCCAAACAAGACTCTCTTTAAAAGAGGCCAAAGCCACTACATCACAAACAATGAGGAAGAAATAAAAATAATATTTAAGGTTTAAAAGATAAAGATACAACAGGAGATACAAGAGGGCAAAGTTACAACCAATATAAATGACATATGAGTAGTGGTAAGATGTATCTTATAGACAAAATGTACTTTTGTGCTTCCATACACAAGTTTCATCTCTATCATTTAAGTTTAGGATACCATATTAATGGTGATGCAAGGAACCATGGTGACACTGGTACTGGTACTTGGATGGGACCACAACTTTGCAAGTTGCTTTTCTATCACTGGGCTTCTGGAATTATGTATTTGGCTAAAGCCAATTGAGATCTTGTGGTTTTGCTATATTCTATGACATAATACAAATTTCTTGAGTTAAAACAGTAGCTATGAGGTGTAACAAAAGGCTACAAGTTTCTTTCTTTTATCAGGAAAATTTTGTTGTTGGTTTGATACATAGCAATTTGGTTTCATGTATCACTTCTGGTTTATACCTTTAGAGGACTGTCATATTTCCTCTTGGTTGGTTATAGAAAGAAAATTTCCCAGGATGCAACATTAGACCCATCCCAATGAACCCTAAATTTCCAACAGGCACAAGTTCATGTATCATGAATTTCTAATATTAGATCCATCCCACATCCAGTGTTTTCGGTGTTGGCTTACAGGTTCATGTATCTAGTCTTACCAAGGTTGATCATAGTTTATTGCATCTCTCCTTTCTCTTTCATCAACAATTATTATTGTGGATCAATGGTGTTTTTATTATTCTCTTTGCCTAGCATGATCTTAGGTTCAAATGTCCACTCTAGTATGTTGTTATGATGAGCTTGCATGATGAATTCAGTAGGGATTAAATCAAGAAAGTAATTTTGGTTAGGTGACAAATTGGATTGTTATATGCCAATGAGTTTGCTTATGTCAGCCGAGCAAATTAGTTGATCAGATACTCCAGTATGCAAGACTTCCATTAATCTGATACCGAAAAATAATCCAAAAGAAAATAATTATCAGATTTTCATCCATAATCAGAATTCAGAGATCAGATGAAGGATTTTTCAAATCAACTACTTCATTGATTGGGATAATATCATTTTTTAGTTTAACAGATTAATAAATCTAAATAATCGATACATCTTCGATTCACTGTAATAGCTTCCTCAAAAGCTCACTTTGTAAATGTATATATAAAGAATGAGACATACACAATTCCAACTAAGCCAAGAACCAGTTTAGAGCTAAGCAGCATCATCAAATAGCACAAACCACAGCTTCTCCGATACGCAGTCCTGGTAGACCTCAAGGACAAGATGTATCGGGTTCCAGGTGTATTTTCCTACTCTGCTTCTGATAACCTTTGCCGAATCTCGTCTATGTTTGATACATTACTTAGACTGCAGAACACATTATTAGTAATGAGTCAAGTATCTGGTCATAAATATGTATCAAATGGTAGCAACAAGGAAAAGAACAAGAAAGTCAATTTCACAGTACATAATCTTAGATGATGAGTTCAGCTATTGGTTTGATGGTTCTTTGAGGAAATAATCATCATTAGAAAGCCAAGAGCAGTTCTGAAAAAAAAGCACTTTGATTTGTACTTTGATTTGTGAACATATCAGTCATCTATTCCCTTTTGATACCTAAATGCATCCATGTACTATTAGTCAGGGGAGGACAAAAACAGATAGAGGTAAGCAAATGTCAATCCGAAATGAGGTAACAAAGGCCATAAGCTGGCTTGTTATATAATCCTAGATAAAAACTAGTTAATTTCTTCAAACATCAGTTTCTCGTGCCATTCTTATTAAGCCAATCTATAATGAATGCTATGGTAACCTGAAAGGTCTAAAACCTAAAGTATGATGACAGTATGAAGTATGATGCCAAGCTTGCAAGCACAAAATTAGAATTGTTTCTCATGAAGCTTACCAACAGAGAATGTCGCCATCGCAGGCAATCTTTTTGGAGATCCAATCTGGAAGTATTTCTAACAATAGTTTTAACTGGTCCTCCACCTCATCTGCGGATCGAAGTCCCAGAATTTTAGCTCTAAAAAAGCATTATTTTTGCACAATGGAAACATCAATTATTTTCCAGCCTAATGTCAGCTGGCATACCTTGATCGACTATTTTACAGTGAGTTGATACTAACTTATGAATTAAGTCTTGCTTTGTCATGACGGACCGCTTCCATGACTGAAATATGAGTAAGATCATGTCAAAAATAGTAGGCAAGGAAGCTATCAACTTCTTCCTTCTAATAGCAATGGCAAAGCCAGGCTCCCTCTCCTGCATTGTCTTCTGCTCTTTCTCCTTGATCTGAAAAAATACAACATTCATGACTTGCTTTGACAAAGGTGTTGTAAATATGGTCATTAAAAACTGTTAATGTTGTAGAAGGCATATAGCTAAGAAAATGAAAGCACAATGGAACATATAATCTCAAATAAATTTGCTGAAGGAAAAAGTACATAAAATTCATGACGAACACGAGCTAAATCAGAAACACTCCTCTGGATTTACTATTTTGTTAATCCTTGTTTTATGCATTCATTTTAATTTTCTTGAGATCAATAAGGGAGATGTTCTTCTCACCTCCTCTAAAATAGACAAAAAAGAACAAAGACAGCATGTCAATCGAAATAAAAGCATGAAGTAATTATCTTATAACACAATGCCTACATTTTAGGAAGAGGAACAGATGAAGTCATTTAAATGAATGATGCATAAAATCATCAAAAATAAAAAATAAAAAAAGGAAGCTGTGTCAATGAGAGCAAGATAGATCTAACAGTGCATCCAACCATGAAATTATGTTCCAGAAAACATTTCAAGAAACTTCTTGAAATGATTTAAAGCTAATAAACCAAAGAAAGAGGTTGTGTTTAGACTTACAGAGTGCAAGAGAGTTTCTGGTAGAAAACTGAGAATGTCATAACTGGAACACAAAATTCTATCACCACTCTCCTTTTCCCCTGCTTCTGCACTCTCTTCTGGAGTCATAAACAACTTTGTTCGGGTCGATCGCCTCACAGACTTGTTCGATGGTGTGGAATCACAAGCAGCGGTTGTCCGACATCGCTTTGACACTGGAATTTCCGGCGTGTCAGTCATTAACGTTAATGGAGTGAACATGAGTTTTGAAGGAGTTTCCAACTGAACTTTTGATTCCTCATGAGAACAGTAATCAGTTCTGGACAACCCTGCAGCATCCTTCTCACCACCTCCATATATGCTTGATAAGGTTGTTGATACAGGAGAACTGAGCAATGACTTATTTGATATGGCAGATGAAGCAAAAAAAATAGAATGATCATCATCTTTAAGACAAGCTCACTAAATCACATCAGAGGAGTTTTATGTGGATTAAGGATATTAAAAGATTGGGACAAGTGAGACGGCACCAGAAATTGTTGCTGGACAGCAGCATTTGACGAGGATTCAGTATTGATGTTCACTCTCGGGTGTCCACTGATCTCTGTCAGATTAAATGGATGTGGCAGCCGCTCAACTGGAACCTCATCTCCCTGACATACAATTCTAGAAATCAATATGGCTCTAAGGCAATCCTCAATCTATGAATTATTGGACACCAAAATTGAAGGTGAATTAATACAGTGTTGTGTAGATAAGAGAAGATAAAACATTGTAGAGATTTAGTTACTTATCAGATTCAGAACAAATTACATCTTTTACTAAGTCCAAATTGGCTTGTGATATCTACCAAGCAAAAGAAATCATTGGAGCACAATCATACAACATCAAATGGGCAAGATTTCTGAGCAGCAACCTGCAAGTCTATGTGCTCACAAGGATTGCCTAAACAATAAGATAAGAAGGCTACTATGGCGGATTTTTCGGTACCTCAGGATGGATTTTGAAGAACTCCACAAGCCTTTCCCTGAACACTGCCGGCAAGATCGAACGCCCAGTTTCACTCTTTCCCTGCATGTTCCTTGCTACTGCATCGACTCGCAGTGTCACCTGCAGCTCTGTCTTGAGAGAGCAAGTAGCGACATCATGCAAAAGCACCTTCTTGATCATTATAGCTTCCGGCATAATGTGCTTCAACCGTGCCAAATGCACGTAAGTGAACCTCCTGAGCGCAGAAACTAATCTCATCAAACTCGCTTCGTATCATATCAAGAAGATCAAGTAGATCAAACTGTCACCTGTCCATCAAACTCTGAATAGTGGTGCAGATGTTGGGGAATGTGGACATCAACCCTTTCTGCCGAAGCAAACGAATGGAGCTCTCCATGCTATCCAAGAACTCACACAGTAACTCATACCTGATCACAAGAGAAGCAAATGTAGACAGAATGGAACCCAAAAAGCTATCTTTTTGGTGGATCACCGATAACAAGAACATACTTTTCTGGAATCTTGAGAAGCGTTTCAGCTTCGGAAGAATTGGGAGTAGAACAAGGCCCCGAGACAGGTCCCAGCTGCTCCTCGGCCGGCAAGGGATCGACATCAGACTGGCCCGTGGGACTCTGAAGCCCGAGGGCGACCTGGCTCACCTCCTTCACGGACAAGGCGAAGCCCCGGTTGCTGGCCCGCGGCGGGTGCTCCTCCAGCCTCTTGGGCGTGCGGATGAGGTCTGCGAGCTCCGCGGGCTTGTCCGACGGTTGCTGGGGCGGGGTGGGAGAGGACGACGGCCTCTTTTTGGAGGGAACGGGAAGCTTGGGTGCAGCTTCGGAATCCATACCGGTGTGGGAGAGGAAGGAAGCGGAGGGGGGACAGTTAAATAATAATAATAATAATAATAATAATAATAATAATAATAATAATAATAATAATAATAATAATAATAATAATAATAATAATAATAATAATAATAATAATAATAATA